ATGTGGTTTACGAAGAAGAAAAGGAGAAGAGTTGGGTTTTTCGTACCGCAATGATAAGAACGTCTGGATGACTGAAGTCTTATTCAGGGAATGGCTACACCAATTTGACTGTGACAAGGACAGGTAAAACCGCAAGGTACTGCTTCGACTGGACAACGCACCATCGCACTCGACTGTTGACATAACACTTCATTGCGTTAAGGTGCACTTCCTTCCGCTGAACACAACATCGAGGCTACAGCCTCTTGATGCCGGAATAATTGGCAGCTTAAAGCGTCGCTACCGCTACTGCCAGCTCTTATACGCTCTCGATTAGGAGGAAGTGGGTACAGATCGAGCCATTTTGCAGTGGATCGACTGCAGGCTATGACATAGGCTAAATCGTGCTGAAATGGTATTGATAGAGATACCGTCTTGAATTGCTTTGACACACCGGTATTATTGTAGACCAGTCATCTTCGCGCCAATCTCGCAAAGCAGAGGATGAGATGATATTGGGCGAGCAGTGTGATTGCATGGTGCTATTACGACTTCGCAATCCGATGAGTATTAATAAATTTTTGTGCAACGCTGCGGAGGATGACACGGAGATCGAGTCACTAGCCCGAGACGAGCTGCTCTGTGATGCAACCGATGAGTTATTTATGAGCACTGACCTCGATAGGGAAGAGCAAGACGACAGTGTACAGTTTTGATTAACCGCCAAACAGAACGTTGCCGCTGCTCAAAGTGTGTTATTCCTGCTGAGTGACCACCCCGATATCGAGCAGAAGCTTGTGAAAGATCTTCGTACACTGCAGATTCGAATTAGAAAGAGCTTAGAGCTGAGAAGAAGGACGCGTTGAAGCAGATACCTATCACAAGTTATTTCAGCAGACTTGAGTGACAAATCTTAATATCAGATTTGATTAAAAAACGTTTCAAGGTTAAGATTCAACAGGTACATATTTATGGCTAATACATTTTAATGACTACCGAGTCGGTGGATCCGCTTCAGATAATATATAACAGGATATCACATTTCTCAGTGATTATTTAGTACGGGTTTGGCTGTATATATGTACTTAAGTATGATATTGACTGTACAGATGAACTCTTCGGTAGTTTTTGCAGCTCATGGAATACCTTTTAAGAAGAATATAATATCAGTTCCCGAAGTCTTAAAGAATACAATCGCTTTTCTCGGCAGAAGCGCCGGACGTCGGAGTCAGACGCCTCTGCTTGTCATCTCAGTGAGGAGAGCCAGGAGAACGACAGCCAAGCTGGTACGGATGTTCAGCCATACAATGAACCAGATGTGTCCCGATCCAGCTCCACTTAGTCAGTACGCCAAGCCTTCTGGACATGACCTTCGACACGTAAGACCAATTCGAAGCCCATTTTAAGCCTACTTACAGAAAACTCACTATGTATGTACGCGATGACGATACTTTGTTATATAGACTCTGGCTAAACACACATAGTTCTTGTTCGTATTGAAAATAATGCTGCTAGACCCTCCATAAGCGTTCGTCGATGACACTTTGTAAAAGAAAAAAGCTACGCCAAACTCGGCATCGAATCCTTAGACTCGGAGCTGTTATTGGACGAGTGTTATCACCCACTTCTTTGTCTGCTACCTGTGTACACACCGGAACCACCAAGAGTCTATGGCACAACAACGACTACGCCGCAACCGATGAGCCGATAGGGTGCACTGCCAAGATTGTTTCTTGCTTCTATCACGGTTTTTCGTGGCATATTACTGATATTTTCCTAGCTGAATGTGACGTTACGAAGTGGCGAGAACCGTTACTTTTTAGTGGTCTCGCATCATGAAATTAGGTACAACCATCGGATTGGGACGCACAATTTCTCGCAGGTATCCAGAAACAGCATGAAGCTGGACAGAGAGCAGATTGATGAAGTCAACAAGCTTCGCAAGTTTGGCGTTTTGCGTAAGAAAATCCTGGTGTTCATTTCAAAACCGGCAGATGCAGAGCCAAGCAAGCCCGATGTACACAGCCTTTTGGCTCTTTTAAACGAGAGAAGAAACAAGGGACTACACTTTCAAAAACGTTATCTAAAATAATTGACCGCTTATGTGAGGATGGGCCGTACGCCGTTGCCCACGTTTAAATAGATCGTGCTGAAAACAAGGTAAATGCTCTCTTCTCTATAACGGGCTTTTCTAAAACAAAGCTTGGCTTGCTACAGACGGTTGCCAAGTGCATCATCTTTCAGCCATCCCACACAGGGGTTTGTATTGTCGACACATTGGACGGTATGGACTATACAGCTCCTGGTAGCGTTCGCCGCGTGGTTCTTGTGACGATCCGTGGGTGCACCACATCCGCTTAAAACTGTGCGTCATCATTAATGGAAGCTGTTTAATTCCATGTCGGCTACAATAAAGCATACATCCAGATATAATGTTAGAAAACACAAATATAATCAAACAATGCGTTCGTGTACCTGTTGTACTTGGCCCGGGTTTCCGAGCTTCTAACCCGGTAGCACAAGTAATACTTCGCAGCGTAATCCGCAAGTATGTCATTGAACTCACTCCAGTCTTAGAATGCTTTCTTTGGAAGCTCCGGCACATACTTAGTCACTGATGTGTGGGACTTCTCCATGGTTTCCCGAAGTTGCCAAGTTTTCGCTCGACGTGTAGGCTTGCGAGCTGTGTGGACTTGCGAAATCGGCTTGGAAACGGGATCTGTACTTTTGCTAGTCTTACTAGCTGTCGGGTCTATACTCATTTCTGGCTCGTCGATCTGGGAGCGGACCCGTTTTTTGTGTGTGCTTTCTTTCAGATCTCGAGCTTTAAAATAATAAAGCAAAAATATTTGTAGCAACATATACAGCAACACATAGGAAACATAGTGAGCAACAAAGTCAACAACATTCGCGGCAACGTAACCAACAGCATACGCAGCAACATAACAAGCAGCACGAATGTAAACGTACGCGAAGTGATTTCCTGGTTGGTTTCAGTGAGGTTGCCTTTCGGTTGTACGGTCCCGCCCGCGTCACGACTCGCAGTATTGGCATCCGCTGTGCCGTTTGCGACAGTGATTTCCGTGGCAGCATTGATTGTCTTAAGGTGTCCCTGTCTAGATACCGGCTTCATGTCGTCTTCAACAGCTAGCTGTATGACTGCTCGCAGCCTCGTCTCGCTCAGCTTTCTCAGCCTCGTCTCGCGCAGCTTTCTCAGCCTCGTCTTGCGCAGTTGGCACAAAGCGTAGAATGGAAGCTTCAAAACCTTGTAGTTTAGAACAGTAACAATTCGTATTTTCAGGCAACGTAACAAGCAATATATTCGAATAGCTGAATTAGCGTACTTGTCTCTTGTTGTTCACCATCACACTTGCTTTTGACGTCGGCAATCTCTCCCTCGTTGGCTTCCTTGGCATTGTCAGTATTGTCTTTGAGCCTGTCGGTGTCGGTGTTGGCGCTGACGACTGTGTGGCGTCCTTGGTCGGGGATCCAAATAGTACTGGGAATCGCTTTGAGATTATCGTTCCGTCCGTCGTCAGGATCGCGCTCCGGGTCATAATCCTCATCATTGTCATCGTCCACAGCAAAGCCTTGGGCAGCAAACACATAGTCGATGGGTTTACGCTCGCGTAGGGTGGCATTTGGCGCTTCAATCAGACAATATTCGATTCAGTGATTCAAAACAGGGAAATG